ATATATATATATATATATATATATATATATATATATATATATATATATTCCTCGCGGTGATTGTAGTTTCCATGCTCTAATTTCAACTGGAATGGCCTGATGATTATCAGAGCAACACTGCTGTAAGCTTCTTGGTGGAAAGATTCAAGCATACAAATTAAGTGAATGCTGTATGCTAAAACAGCAGCAGAAACGTGATCACTGCTTCTCGCTCACCTTTTCTCTGCTCCCTACTACACATCAGCACTTTCAAGGACCCAGTAGAGTATGGTTCCAAGACTGGACTGAGAAAACTCATAGCTCCATGATGAAAATTCAATACTGACTTTTGGCACTGGATGAAAATTTCATTAAAAAAAAAACACACCAGAATTTGTATTTTCTATCAAAACTGCATTTTAAACCAACACATGGACTGTATCACAAACTCCGGTACAAGCAGGAAATGCACATGGTTCAGGCATGACCATACTGTATGTCCTATAAAACCTACAATAGGCACAGCAGGGAGCAAAATGAAGCCTTTAACATGGTGTCTTCTTAGAACTAGGTATTACATGACATGTTTCATGGGGTGTTCCCATCTAAACTGGTATTTATAAGTTTGTATTGTCCCTTTAATAAAAATTGTTAGTTTTTTAAAGTGAATTTCTAGACCAGCAGAGATGGTTTTATTTGTTAACAAATATTATTCAGATATTTCTTCTCAAATTAAGTTGGACTGGGGGGCCAGTACTTAGTAATAAATTCAGATGCTGCTACAGCAATCACACCAGACTTCTATGCAAGAACTGGCAAAATATCTCCCCTCCCCCTTGTAAATAACATTATGCATCTATTTATCTTCAGTATATCTAATGTGCCCATCATCATAGTATCTAGAAACCATTCAGACTAGCATTTCATTTAGTCAGATATCCCTACCCTAGCAGTTGGACTTGATTCTTCAGAAAAAGGTGAATGCATTGTCATTTTTCTATAATGTTATATGCGGAAAGGAAGAACTATTTTTTGTGACTGCTGGCAACAGATAAGGTGATGACTTGAAACGTGAGATTAGATGTGAATACTGTCTTGAGTTTGAAAAAGGCTAAAAGAGTATTGATGGTCATGAAACTAACCATAATGTTTTGAAAGAATGCCATCAATTTAGCTTAAGCCCCAGATGTACGTTTAATATAACTTTATTAAAAAAGGATTTTACAAATCCTATGGCAATTTTTTCATTAAACTTCTTTCCCCCCAATTAAATGAAAATAGTTTTATTTGAACCTTTCCCTGTAATACTGGAAACCCAAATACAACATTACCATTAGAGCTGACTGGAAAAGTTCAGCAAAACATTTTCTCATCAAAATTTGCCTATTTGTCAAAATTGAAAAATTTTGCAGAGATGTTTCGATTTCACCAGAGTTCCAGTAGAACCCAGGTAAGGGTCCAATGGAATCCCACCTGCCAAGCAGGTTTCAAAACCTACCTGGTTTTCTGCCAGATCGCCTGACCAGTTCCTCAGCAGCCAGGCAGACTGCCTCAAAGTTGGTAACTCTACAGTTTCCAGGGTCTAAGGTAGCCTGCCATGTGGACTGCCTTTGATACCATTCCAAATCAGAAGGAAACCAAATTACAAAACAATTAAATCCTCCACAAAATGGAATTACCTTTCTCTTCACAGCTCTAATTGTCATGGATTTGCCTGAAAATCAGAGAGTGAAAGTGAACAATCTAGTTTCAGACCTGCAAAGTGTCATGCCGCATGCATGATCCTCCCATTTGGCAGATCTGTCAAGCCTGCCCACATCTCAGGTAAGATAGAGACAGAGAGAGACTCTCTTACACAAAACCCTTTGGCCTATAGGAAGGTACATTAGACTGGCAGCCAGGAGACCATGGATTCTGATCTCATCTCTTTGATTAAGTGCTGTTAATATTTCTGTGCAGCTCACAACCCTTATTACTGATCTAGGCCATAAGGCAGGCAATTATGATTTCTCCTGTTTTACAACCAAGATAATTGGGAGGTTGTACAAGGCTATTTCATCCCCATATTGAAAACTTCTTCCATTTTGGAGAATAAATGTGTCTGTTGGAATCCTTTTTGCTGTGAATGAGAATGTTTTTAACCTCTGAGGAACATATTCTTTCTGATTAAACCAGTCAGCTAGCGTTCATGCTGTGAGATGAAGAGTGTATGTATCAGGATGCAGGACTTGGCCACAATTCTGATGTACCAGGTCTTGTTTTAGAGATAAGTGCATCAGAGATTGAATGGAGAGATTTCAGAGATATAGGTACCAAAATTGCCTTGGACAGGCTGGGGCTATCATGATTATTTTGTCAGATTCGTGCTTGAGCTTTCTGAGAATCCTGGGTATTAACGGAATCAGGGAAAATGTGTAACAGAAGGCCTAAGGACCATGCAATCAGGAATGCATTGAAAACAGATGGCTCTGACCCTTTCTGAAGCAGAAGCGAAGATACTTCCAGGAGACTCCACTTGAGGAATATAGTTTACAGAATCACTGTCATATATGGACCACTTCTGGTCATCTACAATTTATCTGCCAAAGTGATCTACCAGTATGTTCTGTATTCCTGGTAGATGAACTTCCCTCAGTTGCCCTCGTGGCGGATGCAGAAGTTCCAAAGTCATACAGTCTCTTGACATAGTGGAGTGGATTTTGCACCATCCTGATTATTTATATAAGACACGATTGTAGTGCTATTCATCATGACTTGTATAGTAAGACCCTTGATGGCTGGGAGGAAAACTGAGCATGTTTAATAAATGGCTTTTAAATCCAGGACATTTATGTGAAGCTTTTCCTCTTGAGCAGTCCATAACACCTGTATTTGCATTCAAATGGCATTCATCTCCAGTCTTAGATGGAAGTGTGTGTAGGAGAATGAAATCTACTGCAAACTTTTGTGGGGTCCAACCACCACTTTAATGATAAGATTAATGGTGGAATATGAACTAGCATTTACTGTTGATGTCTACTTGACTGATATACAGCCTTCAACCACCCTTCCATGCAGCACATATGAGGTTTGGCATGCTGAGTCATGGAGGTGCACGATGCCATATGGCCTAGCAGTCTGTGGCACATTCTAAGAAATGGTTACTCACCTTCTCGTAACTGTTGTTCTTCGAGATGTGTTGTTCATGTCATTCCAAGCAGGTGTGTGCGCGCCGCTTGCACGCCAGCCGGAAGATTTTCCCATAGCAGCGTCCGTAGGGTCGGCTCCTGCGCCCCCTGGAGTGGCGCCTTTATGACACTGTATATAGGGGCCAGCCGACCCCCCACCACCCCAGTTCCTTCTTGCCGATACTCCGACAGAAGGGTAGGAGGATGAGTATTGGAATGGACATGAACAACACATCTCGAAGAACAACAGTTACGAGAAGGTGAGTAACCGTTTCTTCTTCTTCGAGTGATTGTTCATGTCCATTCCAAGCAGGTGACTCACAAGCCCAAGTCTAGGTGGTGGGGTCGGAGGTCACTGCAGACTGGAGGACTGCACGGCCAAATGCAGCATCCTCCCTAGCCTGGTGCGTAATGGCGTAGTGAGCCGTAAAGGTGTGGATTGAGGACCAGGTGGCCGCTCTACAAATTTCCTGTGTTGGGATGTGGGCCAGGAACGGAGCTGAAGAGGTCTGTGCTCTTGTGGAGTGGGCCGTGATAGGCGGGGCTGGTACATTGGCCCGACTGTAGCACTCCTGGATACAGGTTCTGATCCAAGCCGAGATCCTCTGTGACGTGACCGGGAGCCCCTTCCTACTGTCAGCCACAGCGACGAAAAGTTGGGTCGACTTCCTGAAGGGTCTCGTCCTTTCTATATAAAACGCGAGAGCCCTGCGAACATCCAGAGAATGCAGCCTGCGCTCCTTAGCCGAGGAGTGCGGTTTTGGATAAAACACAGGGAGAAAAATGTCTTGACCCATGTGAAACGGCGAAACCACCTTAGGTAGGAACGCAGGATGCGGCCTGAGTTGGACCTTGTCCTTGTGGAAGACGGTGTATGGAGGCTCGGATGTCAAAGCTCTGAGTTCCGATACCCTCCCTGCTGATGTGATAGCCACCAAGAACGCGACCTTATATGAGAGGTAGAACAGCGAGCATGAAGCCAGCAGCTCGAATGGGGCCCCCGTGAGGACAGACAGGACCAAATTGAGGTCCCAAGCAGGGACAGGTTGACGGATATGTGGGAACAATCTGTCAAGACCCTTAAGGAACCGTCCAACAAGTAGGTTTGCAAACACTGAGGTCCCCCCCTCTCCAGGGTGGAATGGAGT